AAAGCTAAACAATAATTATCAATTTTTCATATTTTCTTTCTGTGGACAGAGCAATGAAACTGTTGCTAACAATAAGAAACAGATAAAGCTTCTGGAATACATAATGAGGAAAGAAAGTTTGGAAAATTTAACACAAGATGTTCAAAGCAAAATGTAGAAGGAAACAGTGAATAACCTACTTAATAAGTTTCAATAGATTGGTGGTTGGACACAGACAAAGATGGATAGTAAAAAGGGACAAAATTTAGAATAAAAAAATAGGAAGTCGTGGAGAACCATGATCGTCTACATCCCGAGAGGATATGAAATGCCTTAATAAAAAAATAAATTTCAGAAACACAAACCATTTTTTTATATATTAATAAGAAAAACAAATTTTATCATCATCTATTTGTAAAAATTTACTCAAATATCCTGTGATATTCAAAAACTTTAAAATGTTAAATTTAAAAATTAAATCTGCATCATAATTCTCAGAAATTAGTATCCACTGATATTTTACCATAAAGAATGATATTCTTTATTTGGGGAGATTGTAAAGTACAAAAGACCTGCTGCTTTCGTTTTTAGTTTTCTTTTTCAAGGTAAAATTAAATTGTAAAATTCATGTTCCTCCCCACCATGTTTTTTCATATGTACAAGTTACAATAAACTCAATGAGTAGAAGAATTAAAAGTTAAAAGTAAAACTGTACTCTTCCTTTTCTTTGTGTGTCTCATTTTTAGGGATTTTAACAACTGTCTTTTTTTTGTCGGACGATTGATGAACTCGGAACAGGGTATTGATTGATTAAAGACATTTTTTTTGGTGAAATAGTTGAAATTTCTATCAGCTAAAATTTAAGCAATTCCATGCTACCAAATGTCTGTGTGTTGGATTAGCTGCCCTTGATTTATACTAAAAAAGCCTGTTATTTCTGTCGATATTCCGTTTTCAAGGGTCAAACAAAAATATATTTTTAGAACGTCCCTGTAAACTTTGCAGGTTTTGACATCTGACTCTAACTATCAACATTAGCTCTTAGTCCATTTTGGACATCTTGAATCTATCAAGAACTCGATGGAGACTGTGAATGTGGATCATCCAGGTATAAAAAAAACTAACAACAATCAACGCTATTGTTGTTGTTGTGATGTTACCCATGCATGTCCGTTTTCCAACTTTTACCTATCCTATACCTACATATCATCCAGTATCTGATCTTGTCTCTCTGTGTATGTGTGTGTATGTGTGTGTATGTATGTGTAATAATTATAATCGATATTGTAATTAATTATTACTTTGCATCAACATGCACTGCAACTTCCATCATTTGTTATTCCAATTCCAAGAAGAAATAAAAATACGCAATTATTTTACATATTTTAAATGAAATGATTTACGTCGAAATAATCAATTAATTAATAATGTTGAAGTAAAATTAATTTTTACTATGCTTTATATCACAAAAAATAATTCCTGTTTTTTTTAAACACAATTGTTAAAAACACGTATGAAAAATGCACACACGCACACACATCAGACAAATTTTATTAACAGAGAAGAAAAATGGCTTGTAAAAATCACATGAAGACGATAGTTTCTTATTTGTCTTCGGTATTTTCACGTAAGATATTTCTTCTCCATCTAATTGAGGTGCCACTTTTTTTTCTTTTGTTTTTTACTTTTTGTATTTCACTTTCCTCTTTCTGAATAAGTCTGTTGTATTTGCCCATATTTGGTATTTGTGTTCATGCTGCCAAAAAGTTTTATAAGCAGACAAAATAATTTGTTAGTTTTTAACAATATCTTAAAACAACCCACACAATTCTCAATTTTCTTTTTACGTTTATTTTTAACATCAATATTCAAAATCTTAATCGTTGTTTTATTTCACTTCGTAGATTTTTATTTGGAAATATTTCAACAGCTTTCAGTTCGTTTGTTTTACTTTGTAGTTGAATCGCAAAAAAATTCCATTTATTAGAAAAATAAAGAATACAGATAATTTTCTCTGAGACATTATATTTCTAATTTCTTATTTTTTACAAATCCCACTTTTGAATTTTACTGTCGTGAAATGATGGAGTAGAGATCTGTTTTTTAAGTGATATTTTTTTAAAATGAATTAATTAAAATTATAATTCATCGAACTCATTCAAAAGATTTTCAAACTTAGTCTATGTTTCTTAGAAATCTCTTTTGTTTTGATCTCAGACACTAAACTTAAACAGACTTAATATTGCTGAAAAAGTATTTTTTAAATATTTTTTTGGGAGAAGTAGTGACTCTTCATACAATTTCTTTTCTCCATCTGTTTCAAAACAAAAAAAAATGTATGAAAACTTCAGTTCAAAATAATTCCTCAAATAATAAAAACGTACAAAATACTTTAAAGTGTAAAGTCAGTTTTGTTACCATTTTTCCAGTACTGTTAAAGCTCCTGTTGCAGTCAGCAAACTGTAAACTTGCTTCTAGCCTTTTAGATTTTAGGTAACTTCTTTATTTTAACAGTTAGTTCCACCTTCTCAGAGTTAATAAATAAAAGTGTGTATGAGTGCTCCTAATTTTGGCATTAGATGATCAGAGTAGACTGAGAAAAGCAAGTTTACATGATGAGAGAGGTAGGGATAGATGTTTATTTAGCAACTTATCAATTTTTGGCCTAAGGCTTATTCATAGTCCACTTCCACAGTAAGAAATACTGTCAATGGTTTGTGAGACTAGCATGTTTTAATTTCTATATTAAATATATATGCACTTGTGCATTAATTTTTTAATATGCTTCATCAAAAAAAAAGCATAACAGCAAAATCTTTTTCTATTTTTTATGAAAATCATAAGTCAGCTGGTATTTTAACTCCAATAAAAAGTGAAGTGTTTGTTAGATTTCCCTGTCGATGTAAAAACTTATATATTCTTTTCCTTCATCTTAGTTGGTAATTATCAAAAAAATGTTAAATTGTTTTAACTGGTGACTGATTTTTATTTATTCGTGGAGTATTATCTTTTTATTATCAGTTGTTCTTAGATTACTCATAATTTTTTGCCAATCTTTTAGGTGATACAAGATTTTTATTTGCTCTATCATTTACATTTCTGTCAGTTTTAGAATCCTGTAGTATCTGAATTCCAGCTATCAGAAATATGTCTAAGAAAGATATGATAAAATAATTACTAAGAAATAGAAGTGCAGGTAGCTTAATAGTTAATGCATAGAGAATGTAATCAGTGGACCAAGTTCAAAACTGGGACAGTATATGTTCATTTCACACTGATGTCCTTGAAAAAAGCATGAACCTGTTTCTCCTTTCATAAATAGGGTGGTTGTGGGTCTTTTAACCTTGAAAGGCAATCTATCTATTTTTATTGTTTAATATTAGGTGAGATCAGGGGTTGTTCCTTTAAACCTGTTTCTTATTACTGAGAGAAGAAATTAACATTGCCATATCCCCTACACACACACTCAGCTGCCACTCCTTGGACTGAGAGATCTCATAAAAAAGAATTACTTGTCATGAAACTTTGATTTAATAGGTCATGGGAAATATCAATGTCTACTAAGAAATATAAATTTTCCTTAGAACTTTACATCTATATTGATTCTGTTCATTAAAACTTCACAATTACTCTTAAAAATAAAAATTTACTGATTTCATATTCATTACGTTCTAATATATCCATTTTTGATAATACTTTTCAGGAAAACTGCAAGCAAGTCTTCTCAACATTGAAACACTCTCTTCATATAAAGGACTTTGAAAAGTTCCACAAGGTGCCTTCTCTCAAAACAAAAACTAATACATCATTCCAGTCGCATTTGGAATAACTTAATTTTAAAATGTAAACACCTATATAACTTAATCATAAAACAAGGAATTGTGCATCTCTATCTCTTAAAATGTGAAGAGTTAATATTTTTCCATTTGACAAAGACTTACCACAGCCGTTTTTCTTCATTCTATCACCAATACTCAGGTATATATTCGAAATGATTGATTATTTTGCACTTACCCAAAATTAAAAAGCCATGGTTATGTCTTCCACATCTGGAGGTCATTCATTATTTTAAATTGATACATCAATTTATGAATAAACAAATGACAAAATGGAAAAACTTCTTAGTGACGCATTTAGCTCTGAGGAGGAACTTCTTCAGACTAATAATGTATTTATAAATCACAAAAATTATTGATGGAAATTGATAAGAAAATACTAAAACAATATTATATATTTTATTAATTCCACAACATGAATATAGGTACTTTTCAAAATAATTCTGATGAACTGTATTTTTTAAAATTTTAGCTTAAAAATTGGATTAATTGTTCAATTTAATTTTAAAGATAGTTAAAAAAATTGTTGTTTATATTTTAGTTATTTAAAAAAAAAACAACAGAATTAGTATACCTTATACAAATTATTCCATTGTGAAAGAAGAGATCTCAGTAAAAAGGAAGTAAAAACTTTATTAAATTTTTCACTATTTTTGTTGAGAAGATTATATTGTAAAGATTCATTACAACAATCAGTTGAGATCACAAAATTTTTCTTAATGTTTATCAAAGTATACTTGTATTATTAGAAGTAGTACTAGTAGTGAAAATAATGTTAATTTAATATACCTATAAAGTAGACATTTAATTTAAAGTATTTTAAGTTGGTTGTGCTTCAATGCCTATACTTTTCATTTGGTATATTCATTTTTATGCATTTAGACAAATTCACTTAAATTTGATTTATTTGTAAATTTATTAAAATAAAAATAGAAAATTAAAATTTCATGAAACATAATCTAATCAGAACTGAATGGCATGAACTAATCTAATTTTTATAAAAAATTATCAAACTGCTCTTGAGTTATCTGGCAGACACACCTACTTCACAGTGGCAGTGTCAATAAAAAAAAATTTTTTTTTCTTTGATGCTGTGCCGACACACACCCACACACATTAATAAAACTCAATATTAAAAAATTAAAGAACTATAATCCTAAAAATAGAAAGTGAATCTCTGTCAAAATGGACTCTCTTCAATCGATGTTCACAAATCCTGGCAACAGTTTCAATTATGATATTTGTCCTCCATCCACTCTTGTGACCCCATTGCCACCTTTAGAAGCTGTCACATGTCTCAGCTCACCTGTTACAATTCCTCTTGCCCCAAGCCTCTCTCCTGCAACTCTGTCACCAGCTCCCACTTATACAGCAGATCAAAACATAAAAGACAGCAATACAACAGATAATGCAACTGACAGCGACACAACGGCAGCAGACACTAAGGATTACATTGACAGTCTATCCCAAACACAAGAGATTCTTAGCATTGCCTCCACCACAGTAACAACTACTGTAACAGCTTCAGCAATGGCAACACTGGTCACAATGAAAAGAGCTCGGGCAGATGGTACTGTCATAGACCCCAAAAAACCGTTTCGCTGTGAAGTGTGTCGTAAATCATTTTCCCGTAAATCAAACCTAACCAACCATCAACATGCAGCTGCAGGAGAATCAGTCAGTGGTGATGTGAAACACTTTTTTTGTTCCTATTGTGATCGGTGTTTTCCAATCCGGGCGCGTCTACGAGACCACCAACGAGTGCACACAGGGGAGCGACCCCATGCCTGCACTCTTTGTGGCAGAGCTTTCTCTCACCCCTCAAATTTAAGAACACATCTGCGGACACATTCAGGTGAAAAGCCATACCAATGCCCTGTCTGCAAAAAGGCATTTGGACACCACAGTAATTTGAAAACTCACTTGAGAATTCACACAGGTGAGCGGCCATATGTCTGTGTACTTTGCAGCAAGGGTTTCTCACATCAGACAAACCTGAAGGACCATGAAAGAACACATACGGGTGAATCACAGAGAAAATTTGCAAAAATTAAGTAACTGTGATTTTTATTATATTTTAAATTTAGTCTGTCTAAATAGCTTTTAAATAGATTCAACAAAACACACATAATTTCTAAGCTAAATTTAGTGTGGTACATAGTCCCCAATTGTGGAACACCCAATGAAGTTCAAACTCACTCACTACGCTAGCAATTGGCATCATGATAAAATAAACACACACATACACACATATATATGATAGGATAATGAACAAATAGGAAATATTTATAAATTTAATATGTTTTGTCTTTAAACTTCATAAATATGAAAGAGAAAGTTTCAGTATTTTTTAATTTTGTGTTGTTTGTTTTTCATTGGTTAAACAGACCTCATGTATATTTGTCTTGTGTGGTACTGTACATATGTATAATTCTTGTGTTTGTGTATCCTAATTCTAGTTGGTCTGTGTGTGATTGAGTTGATATCACCATGTCTAATTGATGTCTTTATCAACCAAATCCCACATAGACCAACTAGAATTATACATATGAATGCTAACAGACAAAACAAATACATGTGAGGTCTACTCAACCAATGAAAAATGAACAACACAAAATTAAAACATTTTTTTTGCTACCAGTGTACCAATTGTGACTCATTTCATGACTTTGAGATGCCTCTTGAAATGAGATTCTTAACCTTCCTATTGAGAACTGTGCCACAGAGCTTTCTTCCTGGGACAAAAGCAACATTTAGAACTTTAAATAAATGTGAAACATGTTAAATTTATTATTTGTTCATTATCCTATTATTCTGTCAGATTCTAATCCATAATTGATTGCAACTCATATATATATATATATATATATATATATATATATATAACATACAAACCACATGTATTAATACAGGGGATGTGATAGTACACCATATCAAAAGCAAAACTTTCTCACTGGACTCATAATATTTATCTACCAATTACCAAAGTAAATACTTTGATTGAAGTAATTTAATCTTTCATTATTCTACTCATTATTAAAGTTAATTACATTGCTTAATTTGTGTATGTAAGAACTCCTGTGATATCAAACCATTTATATATATGCTTATAACTCTCCATATTTTATATGATGATGATGATGATGGTGTGTGTGTGTGTGTCTCATTATTTTCTATATGTCATAACCTCTCTGGTAAAGACATTAATTAGACATGGCAATATAAAAAGATATGGGTAATTGAATGACAAATGGAAAAGAAAATCCTATGTAATGTATTTTGTCCTTCAAAAGGACTTTGTCAGACTAAATGTTTTAATTGATGAGATTATATATATATATATATATATATATATATATATATATATATATGCAAAGGCCAAAATATAAATGCTGATTATAATTCTACATCAAGAGAACTGCAGGGATGCTTAATTTTGAATTCAAATTTTAAATTTCTGTCATTCCATGTGTCTCAATGCACAAGTGAGCCAACCATATTCAGCTTCCTATCATTTGTTTTTATTTCTGCCGTTTTTAATTAAAAACACTTTCAATAAAGATGCTATTTTGTCTGAAGAAGTTCTTTTGAAGGAAAAAATGTGTCACAGGAATTTTTTTCATTATGTGATTTAGTTATGTACCATTTGTCTGATATTCTCCCATAAAAAAGATAAATTTGTCTAAGCTGAACCCCATGCACACTTATCTTATGTCTGGATAAACCAAATATGTACCAACTTGAGAAATCAAAATATAGAATATTAGACAGAAAAACATAACTTTTAAACTCATTTACGTTTACTAAAGCAGAAGTTCTGATTTAGAGCTATCATTTACTCTTTTGACCAATCTCTGTAATGTATATTATCACAATTTTGCATATCCGAATCATAATCTCTTAATATTTTTGTTATAAAATAAAAATAATAATAATTATCTTTAAATACAGTGGTATTAGAATATTTTATCTTGATAGAAAGGATTCTGGATCTAATCAGTTACAAATTTAACAAATAATTTATTTAATTTGGATTTTGTTTATATTCTTTTAAGTTAAATCATACTTTTTACAAATACATAAAAATCTTTGCTTCATCATTAAACAGCAATCAATGTCTTTACCAGATGACTTATTTATAGAAAATATGCATCTATTTAACATTTTATATAAGCATATATATTTATTTATTAAATATTTTCAATTTTTTATATATTAATGCACACACCCACATGTGCACTTATGTATGCATGTAAGTATTACCAACCAATCACCTTCATATGATCACATTATCAATAACCATTTATGGATTAACTGGTTAAAACTTGAATAAAAAATATTTTACCAAATTCAATTCTATGTTGTGAACAAGAATCTTCTCTTCATGTCTAACTAAAAAGTGAGTTTGTTTGTGGAGTTTGCCTTAGAATAAGAGACATCAGAAAATATCACAACATTTATTAAGGCTTTGCAGATATGATTTTTATTATTTCTTGTACTTATATTAAATGGGAGCACTTGCTGGAGACTAGTGGTTTGTATGCTGATTTCAGAAGCTACTGATAGTGAGCTTGTTTCTCACTGTTTGATGACTAAGTTCTAGTGCCAAACTTGGCTTTGTTCTGTAGATATCAATTTCCTTCAAATGAAGATTAAACCTGAGCCTATTGGTCAGACACTTCATTTTGTTGTAGTCAGGATAAGTAATATTACAATATCAGAGATGAACAAAAACTTGGGGAGTTGAATTAAAGGGAGATAACTGATACTGAGACATTCGGAAGAGGCATGGCATGTGGAACTAGAACAATCTACCCTGGTGGAGGAAATAAATGGTTCAGTGTGAAATTCCAATCACCTGACGAAGGCCAGAGTGTATAATGGATGAATATAGCAACAAATACGAGGACAACAGTCTGAACAATGTAAATAGTGAATCCAGTTCATGTTGATATTTTGTTTGCATCATCTATTAGAAAGAAACCTCCCCTATACAAGACTTCTTTTTGCTACCAGTGTACCAATTGTGACTCATTTCATGACTTTGAGATGCCTCTTGAAATGAGATTCTTAACCTTCCTATTGAGAACTGTGCCACAGAGCTTTCTTCCTGGGACAAAAGCAACATTTAGTTCCATCTCAGAAATGCCAGATGAAACCACAATCTTCTTGGGTAATACCGGCCAGTTCTGCCACTATAGTCTACAGGAATCACTTCTGGGTGCTCCAGTATGATAGTTCTGATCACAATAGAATCCTATTTGTGCAAGCTTGTAACAATTGTAAATGCATCATCAAAGAAGCTAAGTCTTTGTAGATAGAATGAGATAACTCAAGTTTGACTGTAATTACTCATGGCTTTGTAATAATGTCTTAAATAAGAGTTTTCTATCCCTCTTCACTTCACTCAGTTTGAAGTGTTAACTTCTGTTGATAAAGCAGAATGTTTTACTCATAAATTCTCCTCAAATTCTACTTGACTCAACTGGAGTATCTTTGACTTTCTAATGAGAAATCAGTCCCTATTGATTGATATGCATATAACTCCGTCCATGGTATCATCTTTAAACTAGATCCCCTCAAAGCATGTGAACCTGATGGTATCCCTACAATAGACTTTAAGAAATGTGATCCTGAACTGGCTCCCGTTCTCTCAACTGTACAATAAATGCCTTGCTGCTTCCTACATGTTGGAACTCCTCATCCATAGCTCCTGTTAGTAAGAACTTGGGCAAACTATTTGATCCTTCTAATGGTCTATTACTCTTCTACCTCTTTTTAGCAAGATACTAGAGGCTCTAATCAACACTGAATTGGTTAAACATCTCACCTTGTAGGATCTTCTTTCAAATAAGCAATATGACTTACTTCTCTAGGTCAACTGCTGATGTGTTAATAATTATTGCTGAAAGAGTCTATCAAGTTTAAATAAAAATGGTGAAGCTTGGGCTGTTGCTTTGTATATTTCAGGGTTTTGACAGGGTTTGGCATATTGGTCTTTTTCATAAGTTGAAAGGTTATGGTATTTCTAGATGAGATTTTGAATTGATTCAATCTTTCTTATCGAATCACAAAATGAAAGTTGTCTTTAATTTTCATCAATGACATTCCTAATGTCATCAGCTATAAACTCAATATCTATGATGATAACACAACCATTTATTTCTGTCTTATGTCTGAGCAGTTTGGTAAGGCAAAATTGGCAGATGATCTAAAAAATTAACTATATTCTGTTGTTAACTGGAGTAAGGAATGACTTGTTAATTTTAACACCTCCAAAATAAAACAGCTCTCTTTTAATTGTTTGAGAGAACCCAATTTACCTACCATCAGCATGGCAGATGCTAACCTTCAGGAGTGTGAATCATTGCACCTTCTCAGACTAATGTTTTCTGCTGACATGAAGTAGAAAGATTATATTGAATCAATTGCTAGGAATGTTGGTTCCCTGTTTCATGCTAGACAATTATAAGTCTACCATTCAGTTAGGCTTTGAATATTGCTGCCACATCTGGTCTGGTGCTCCTGCTATATATTTAGAGATTCTTGATAAAATCCAAAGAATTTGCAATATTATTGGTCCTAACCTGGCACCTCAGCTTCAGTCACTTTCCCATTACTGTAATGTAGCTTCTGTGTACCTTTTCTATAAATACTTTCAAGGTAATTGTTCTAATGGACTTTCCTCTATGGCACCTAGACTTTATGAATTTAAGTGCAGTCCTAGATTGGTGGCAATGTCTCATCATTTTATATTTGAAATGGCTAGAAGTAACTGTAAGCTCTAGGCTGACAGTTTCTTCTCTTGCACTTCTTGCTTCTGGCTTCCCAGTCAACTTTGATTTTAAAAAATAATTCCAATATCAATCATTTTCTATCTTCTTAATTCTTGTTCTCTTTCCTTAATAGTATTTTTTAAGCGTCATAGTGGTTTATTTGCCATGCTTGAAATATTTAAAAAAAAAAAAAAAAAAAAATATCATAATTCAGATTTTTTCTATTTTCTAAAACTATTGTAATTTAAGTGTACATCTATTTCTCCTAAATTGATGGGACCT